TAAAAATTAAACGCATTTGAATTGGAATGTCAGTCTAAGCGATAGGGGGAAAATTAAGCATTCTGATAGAAATAAAAACAAACAGGGGCATTCTTCTTATTTTGAGATGCATTTACAAAGGTGAATGCCACATTGCGCTGAGAATGTTAAGCAGATGAAGTCTTGACAATCAGATATTAGGTGAATATTAATATGATTTCCTTGCTTTCGCTCTGTTCGTCTTTTAAGATAGTGTATAAAAAAAATTTCTGTATAAAAACACGTTAATTCCATTAGTATTATGATTTTTTTGAGCGTTTATTAAATTGAATTACCGGGTATGCATAAAATATTGTCACATGTTTGAAATCTTATTGCTAGAAAACTATTAGATTTTCTTCCAAGCATACTAGATTATGCTTTCGATTACGTTTGAGTTTAACAATAAAATTGCTTTGCCAAAACAAAAGAAAAATGAAAAAAAAATCGAGAGCATTACGATTCTAGAATGATTTAATTGAAATCGGATAGGATTTAAAAAAATTAAAAGCTGTTAATAAGAGACACAAAATGTTTTAGTTAATTTATAATTGACTAAAAATATTTGTAAATTGAATTTTAAAATTTTTTACTAGAGGTATGCAAAAAAAATTTATGATTATTTTAACACATTTTTAGCGGGTAACATAAAAATAAGTTTTTGAAATTTGTGCAATCCATACAAAAGTTTAAAAAGTGGTAGCAAAACTGCTTAATTTCCATTATGTTTTTCAAAGAAATTATCCATTCGTGATTTATCACAAACATAAACGATTATATATACAGTCCCTAGACAAAATATCAGTACCCCCTCCCCTCGAGATGTGATTTGTTATGGGGACATGGAAGATTTTGTGACCCAATAGATTTAACGTGCATCACCACGGGGAGCCTTCGGCCGAACCCACTATCTCTCGGACATGGGCCTATTGACCTACCAACCAGGCTATCCCTATTGCTGAATAATAGATCGGGAAATACCCGAGTTTATAGGAAAACATCAGAGAATATATATNATATATATATATATATATATATATAGATAGATAGATAGATAGATAGTTAATGAATCGCTAATTGAACTAATGAGTAAAATTAGTATAACTCCATAGCAAATCTTTCAATTGCAGTACTGAAGTACTAACGACTTAAAATAAAATAAATCTATAATAAATCGCTCAGTTGAAATGTCATATCGTCATAAATTCCTATAACTGTTCACGATATGAAATTTCCATGTATTGAGCCAATATCATGCTATATGATGTTGTTGTAAAAGCTGTTAGTTATTTATCAAGATAATGGACTTTTCACTATGGAAGTCACGCGTTGAAACAAGATGAGCTTGAAAACTTCTCCGCAATAATTTCAAGCCAAATCTTGATGGGAAAGGATAAAAGATTAAATGAATCTAAATTGGAATGCGAGTTCTAACGATTGAAAAAAATTTTTTTTTGTTTGATTTAAAGACAAACTAGGATGCTTCATATCTTTGGAATACATTTACGAAGGAAAACCTCACTGCATAACAGAATTCGAAGCATTTGAAATCTTGACGTTGATACACTAGTTGAATACTGATACAGTTCTTTACCCTTACAATAAATTCAAGCTAATGAATCAAACTGTTAAAATTAATGAGAAAGTATTTATTATTATTGTTATGTTGAGTTAAACTTTCTTTAGAATTAATTTGGAAACACTATCATATATTGTTTTTTATGAATATAGGAAATTGAAATTGTATGATTTGAAATTTTTTTAATATGATATCAATTCCTACTTAGGAATACAAACTTTCAAGACAAGACTTTGTTCCGTCAATCACTGTATTAATATAAATTTGTTTATTTTAATTAAATCAATATATTATAGTTTATAAATTATTATATTTAATCATCTGAAAACTTGCATTGGCACGTAAAAAAAAACAGATTTGCTTAAATTCAATTGTCAAATAAATTTATCATAGGGTTAGGTTCTATTATTTTTTTTAAGTATCAAAAGTTCGTGATGGCTGTTTTTTTTTTTTTTTTTTTTTTTTTTTTTTTTTTTTTTTTAAGTATCAAAAGTTTGTGATGGCTGGTTTTATTATTTTTTCAAGTATCAAAAGTTCGGGATGGCTGGTTTTATTATTTTTTTAAGTATCAAAAGTTCGGGATGGCTGGTTTTATTATTTCTTTAGGAATCAAAAGTTCGGGATGGCTGGTTTTATTATTTTTTTAAGTATCGAAAGTTCGGGACGGCTGCTAATATATTTGAAGTAAAAACGAAAATGTGATAATATCTTTTTTAAAAAAAGGACCTCTTATAAAGTATACTGTTTACCGTATGCCTTTATTCATTGGCCCCAAAAAGAAAATTGTCACAGATAGTTGGATAGAAAATCAACTCTTGTAGTTTTGTTAGGTGATACAAAAGGGGTAGTAAAACGAGAATCTATTGTTCTGTGCATTTTTTTTTATTCAGGTATCTTCTGTTTTGTTTATAAATATCAGGTTTCTCCCGATTACAATAGGTTGCTGAAAGTTATACACTAAAACACCGCAGATTTGATATCATAGCAATATAATAAAACGTTTCATTTCTTTAAAATAACCTTAATTGAATTAGTTTTAATATGGTCATCTTATTTCTGACATTTAGAGAAATGCGCTAAAGAAATGATGACAATTGTTAAGACACTCTTGTAAAAAAGCAAAAAAAAAAGAAAAGAAAAATCCACTCTTATCAATTAAAAATTAAATTTAAGCAATGATTCAGTTTTTATTTAGAAATCAGGGATAAAGCTTTTTCTTTTAATACAATTCACTTACGAGTCCTAGAAAATTGTATTAGTATTCACGTTAATACTTGCCGTGTGGGCGTACTTGTTTCCTGGCCCTCCGACCTGGGCAAGAGGGAGGTCATTAGTAGGGCTAGGCTTGAAGAGGGAACTCGATTCTGGAGCTCCCCGCCCCGTTGGTGTCGACGCACCTTTCCCCTTCTCGGAAGAAAATTTAAAAAAGGCCGGGATAGCCTGGTCGGTAGGGCGCTGGGCCCATGTCCGGGAGTTCGTGGGTTCGAACCCAGCCGGCCGAAGACTCTCGAGTAGTAAAGTGACTGATGCACGTTAAATCTGTCGAGTCGCAAAAGTCCTCAAGTTCCGATAACAAATCAATACCTCTGGGGGTACTAGATTGGAGATCGATCGTTCTCTGATTCAGGTCAAAATTACGATCTGTGGATGAATGAATGGATGTATAAATGGGTCCGCCTTATAAACAGGTGTGGCGAAGTCAAATTATTGGCAATAGATGGCGCCACTGAAAAACAAGAATCGCACACTCTGCCTTAAATTTGCTCTGTTTCAGAAGCAGGCTTGCCCGTGTGGCAAGTGGCATTAGAACCAACCAACCCAACGTTAATACTTGTAGGAATTTCCTGTCTTAAGATGTTACTTGATCATTTAACTGATGTTTCGTGCAGATGCTGCAATAGAAAGGTACAGTGATGGTCACAAGTGTTTTAAATGAAATGCTTCCTTTTGGTTACTAAAATTTTTCTATGGCCTGTGGAAACACTGTCAGATTTTGGGATATCAAACAGATGTATGCTCCATCAATTTTTATTTGAGTTTTTTTTTTCTCATTCCTTACCGTTTTTAAATGCTACTTTTTAATCGAGATCATTTAGATAATAGTGAATATTATATTCGCAAAGATTTTTTTTTCTAACAAACGGAAATGACTTACTTTATAAAAATTTTAAAGAGAATAGTATGACACCATTTAACACTTTTGTTTCATAACCGTCGTTGAACAGCCGACCCAATTTCGGGTATACGACTACCAATGTTCAACTCCGTCACCTTGTGATTCTTGAACCCAATACAGAAGGCAATGGAACTCTTGAATCAAGATCAAATATTGGGGAAAATATGGCTTTATAGAGGACTAACTTTTTGATGAGGCTAACCTGCATTTGCGTTACACAGAGAGGAAAACCACGAAAACCTCCAATGGGTTAGTCTTCTTCACGGCAAGAGGACTCTAGCCCATGATCTGAGGATATTATTACGTCAGCAATATGGTCGGTGGGAGCCGAATGCGGATTCGTATCTACTAGCGATCGCATGGATTCGAACCCGGTTCACCTCACTAGAAGGCGAGTGCTCTATCCCCTGAGCCACGACTAACCACTTGTAGATAATTTTGTATTTAATGAATCATATGTAGTAGTTGTAAAATCTGACTCTTTGCATATTGCAGATGTCTCTCTTCAATACGCTAGTAAGACTCACAGCAATAATCCTAACAAATGAAAGTCGGAAGTTTGCAAAAAGCTGGATTTTTCAATTATTTTACGTCATATATATTAGTTGATCTTGCTTTTAACAAAGAGATTCGCTTTTGCCTAAGAAGATAAAGCGTTTGTCTACGAATGAGGTGACCCACGTTCGAATCCCAGCGGTAGCTGATTAATACAAATTCTGCTCCCTGCTAGCACCGACAACAATGCTGACATAAAATTTCCTTAGATGTAGATGGATCATGGATTAGAAATCCTTTGTTGTCAGGCGAACGGTGGGAAGTTTTCTTCTCCACGCAACGCAAATGCGGATTCGTTTCTTCAAGAAGTTCTCCACAAAGGCTAGTTTGCACCAATGTTTGATCCAAGAGTTCCCTTGTCTTTTGGGTGGTATTAAAAATTATAAGGCTACGGTTGGTATCTAGGTACTTTATTTATTTGAGCTATTGGATACGGTCTGGGAATCATCCCTGAGGTCGATCCAAAGACATGCCATCGCAATTTTGATCCTCTGAGAGGGGGTAGTTCCCTGCGTTGGTAGCCCGACATCCTGCGCGCGATAAGGCTGCGGAGTTGAACATTGATAGTTGTATACTTACTATTGGGTCGGCTGTTCAAAATATTTTATTTCTTTATTGATGTATGAAATCGATTTAAAACGCAAATAATTTTTTTCTCCTTTTTCTTCACAGGTGACAAATCACAAAGTGATTCACCTAAACCTGATTCAAGTCTGGAGAAAAAACCATCCGAAGAAGTTGTACCACCCACCGAAGACACCAAACAAACGACTGAGTCACCGCCCGAACCTAAGCCCGCAGTCGAGGTTCCAACAACAGTGCTCATCAGCAAGCAAGCAAAATGCCGCTTCACAGAGGTAGCACGATGCATGCTTGAAATAATCGAGGACTTGCAAACAAAAAAACTGCAACCGGTGGAATCTAAGGAACAATCATCTGTGCAACCAACTTGCGATACAACTACCTCTACAATATCTGCTTCCGCAAATGCCAAGGTACCTGAGATCCAACTAGAGGTTCTGAATCAACCTCAAAAACCGGACAATGACTCCTACATGGCTGCTGCCGAATATCATGTATATGAAGAAATAGACTATGATTTCGTCAAAGGTAGTGTCCCACCGATGGATGTGCCACCACCTTTACCAGCAAGGCCAAGTGTTATGTTCATGAAACCAGATCTTCCGAAGTACCACCAAAAACGTGCTCCTTCACCACCTCCTAGAAAAGGTCGTTCCCAGGTGAAAAAGAACGCAAGTATCACTGATGGACATAACAGTGAAGTCAGGAATCGTCCCAAGCAAAGGGGCAACTTGTACTGTCTTTTCTCAGATCGCCTGGTCAGAAGAAATATATCTAGGTCATTGGAAAGAGAATGGCGTTCCACGGGAACGTCTGATAACATCGAAGATGATTATGGATTCAAAAAAGAGTTCCCTTCTATTTGAGTAAATACGTGTGATTTAAATTATACCTGTTACTGATACTTGTTATGAGTATGTACGTCATAAATGTTTAGAATGTTATTAGTGATGATTTACTTTAACACGAAGCGACTTCAAAGTATAGCTTGTAAATTCAATCAGGAGGCGAAGAGGAGTCAATCTTGTCAAAGTGACAGTTTTTTTTTGTCATGGAATTTTTTATGTCACTGAATATTTTTCACCATGCCCAGTGAAACATATTAACAATAGTTTCCTCATCATTATCATACAAGTTCGAAAGGACGAAGTTCATATTCTCAAATTCTCGACATTCATATTCTTAGATTTTCGAAGAGTTCATATTCTCAGATTTACTGAATATTTCTCATCAAAGAAACAAATAATGTACACGGCGACAAACATTAACTTTTGAAATACTATATTGAAAGACATTTTAACTTTATTAAATGAAATGCATCATATGATAATTTTAAAAAAAATGAAATATATTTGAAAATGAAAAATTTATTTCTAAATTTGATGCCATGCTATGCTATTTTGTTACCGAATATTGAGATGATAAATAAAACTTTTGTTTTAAGTAACAATGTATTTATTGTTGAAAATGAATTTTTATCGTATTATAAAAGACGTTTATCACAATTCATTGAATTAATAGTTATTTAAGTATCAGAAATTGGATTTACATTGAAATTTAAATCTTTCTTTATTAGAGGGGTTTATGGCAAAATAATAATAAACTACATTTGGACTGTTTTAAGAACCATAAAAATTAATAAAAAAAGTAGTGACAAAACGTCATTATTTGTAATCAGGTTGTAAAAAACACTTAACAATTATAGTAATTCATTAAGTTAATACTCATTCAGGTATCAGACATTGAACCTGCATTAAAATTTTAATCATTCTTTATTTGAGGGGTTTATTGCAAAGCAATGAAAAATCGATCTTTTGGGACTTTTAGACGTTCTTAGGATTTTTTGGAAGATTTCAACTTGAAGTAGATACCCTTTCCTCTGGCCACACCGGTGTTGTCAATCCTTTTGAAGGATCGAACCACGGAGATTTCAGCTTGAGGCGGATGCACTGTCCCCTGGCCACACCGGTGTTGTCAATCCACAAGGAAATAAATTTCTTATAAAAAAAATTCAATCAACTAAATAATGTATATTGTATTTATTTTTAAACTTGCACGTAATTGCACAATTATGTTATTGCCAAGCCTTTATGTTATTAAAAAAATAAATAAGTAAGACATAAAAAAGTTTTATCCTTTTTTTTGTCGGTAGATGCAAAAACGCGAGCGCAATGTATTTATTGTTCGGACAACGCGTTATTTTTACGGATACGATTCGGAACGGCCGTAGTGTTATTCGTAAGAACACATTTCATACACATGCAATTCATTTTATAACAGATTATTTATATAAGAGACTTACCTCCTCTTTGAAGGATCGAACCACGGAGATTTCAACTTCAGGCGGATGCACTGTCCCCTGGCCACACCGGTGTTGTCAAGCCACAAAGAAATAAATTTCTTATAAAAAAATTTCAATCAACTAAATAATGTATATTGTATTTATTTTTAAACTTGCACGTAATTGCACAATTATGTTATTGCCAAGCCTTTATGTTATTAAAAAAATAAATAAGTAAGACATAAAAATGTTTTATCCTTTTTTTGTTTTGTCGCTAGATGCAAAAACGCGAGCGCAATGTTTTTATTGTTCGGACAACGCGTTATTTTTACGAATACGTTTCGGAACGGCCGTAGTGTTATTCGTAAGAACACATTTCATACACATGCAATTCATATTATAACAGATTATTTATATAAGAGACTTACCTCCTCTTTGAAGGATCGAACCACGGAGATTTCAACTTGAGGCGGATGCACTGTCCTCTGGCCACACCGGTGTTGTCAAGCCACAAAGAAATAAATTTCTTATAAAAAAATTTCAATCAACTAAATAATGTATATTGTATTTATTTTTAAACTTGCACGTAATTGCACAATTATGTTATTGCCAAGCCTTTATGTTATTAAAAAAATAAATAAGTAAGACATAAAAATGTTTTATCCCTTTTTTTTGTCGGCAGATGCAAAAACGCGAGCGCAATGTTTTTATTGTTCGGACAACGCGTTATTTTTACGGATACGACTCGGAACGGCCGTAGTGTTATTCGTAAGAACACATTTCATACACATGCAATTCATTTTATAACAGATTATTTATATAAGAGACTTACCTCCTCTTTGAAGGATCGAACCACGGAGATTTCAACTTGAGGCGGATGCACTGTCCTCTGGCCACACCGGTGTTGTCAAGCCACAAAGAAATAAATTTCTTATAAAAAAATTTCAATCAATTAAATAATGTATATTGTATTTATTTTTAAACTTGCACGTAATTGCACAATTATGTTATTGCCAAGCCTTTATGTTATTAAAAAAATAAATAAATAAGACATAAAAATTTTTTATCCTTTTTTTGTCGGTGGATGCAAAAACGCGAGAGCAATGTTTTTATTGTTCGGACAACGCGTTATTTTTTTGGATACGATTCGGAACGGCCGTAGTTATTCGTAAGAACACATTTCACACGCATGCAATACATTTTATAACAGATTATTTACATAAGAGACTTACCTCCTCTTTGAAGGATCGAATCACGGAGATTTCAACTTGAGGTGGATGCTCTTTCATCGGGCCACACCGATGTTGTCAAGCCACAAAGAAATAAATTTCTTATAAAAAAAATTTCAATCAATTAAATAATGTAGATTGTATTTAATTTTAAATTTGTACGTAATTACGCAATTAAGTTATTTCAAATGAGTTTTTTTTATCAAAAAAATAAATAAATGAAACATAGAAATATTTTATCCTTTTTTTTGTCAGTAGGAGCAAAAACGCGAGCGGAATGTCTTTATTGTTCGGGTAACGCGTTATTTTTATGGATACGATTCGGAACTGAAGTTGCTATCCATAAGAATACATTTCAGACACATGCAATACATTTTATAACAGATTATTTATATAAGAGACTGATCTTCTCTCTGAAGGATGGAACCTTTAAAATTTCTACTTGAAGCGGATGCTCTATCCACTGGACACACCGTGGGTAGAATTCTATCCACTGGACACACCGTGGGTAGAATTCTATCCACTGGACACACCGTGTTGTCATGTTATAATGAAATAAATTTCTTAAAAATGATTTTCAGTCAATTAAATAATTTATAGTGTATTTATTTTAAAATTTGTGGCGTTTCAATTTGTGCGTTTACGATTGTGCGTAACACAATTAAGTAATTGAAAATCGTTTATACTTAAGTTTTTTCTTTGAGGCGGATACTCTTTTCTTTGAATATCCCTGGGCTTTCCTCGAGCAAAGTCGTGATTCTCTTATAAACATTTTTCAACAATTAAATAATTAAAATTTTAAAATTTGTCAAAATTTGTGCTTAAGTTCTTAGTTAAGTTTTTAATAATCCGTTATTAAAAAAAGTAAATTTTTTTTTATATAAAATCTGTGGTTTTTTTTCTTCTTTTTTCTCAAAATACAGAAACAGAGACGCAATGTTTTTATTTTTCGAGTAATTATTATTTCGAATATGTTTTGGTGGGATATAATATACGAGCAACGAGTTATACACGAGATAATGTAGCTCACTCATGATGCTAATTAGAATATTTAGTTTTGTTGAAGTGCTGAAAAAAGTAACTGACGGATCGAATGGTGAAGGTTCTGGTTTGAGGCAAAGTATCTCGGGGCTGTCATACAGTAAAATCTTACGTAGTCAGGCAACAGGCATCTAAATAAATAAAAAATTAAATATTTATTTGAAGTTTATATAAATGTCTCAACTTATTTTTTGACTCTTAGATATTAATGAAAAGTTTTATTATACTTTTTCATAGAATTTGTTTTGATCTACCTCGCAGAAAATAAAGACGCGGACGCATTGTTTTAATTACTGGGGAATCGCAATATTATAGATATGATTTTCGATGCAATGACAAGACTTATTTTTTGACTCTTAGATATTAATGAAAAGTTTTATTATATTTTTTCTTAGAATTTGTTTTGATCTACCTCGCAGAAAATAAAGACGCGGACGCATTGTTTTAATTACTGGGGAATCGCAATATTATTATAGATATGATTTTCGATGCAACGAATTTGACATAGCAGTAATTAGAATAGTAATATTCATTCGAGACTTACCTATTTTCAGAGAGATCGAACCTTGAAGTAATCAGTTTGAGGTAGACGCTGTATCCTACAATCACGGTGTTACCTTTCAGCTAAGTCTTTTGTGTTTTGTTTATACTTTTCAGCACTTAAGTGAAGAACTTTTAAAAAATTTCTAAGTGTCATAAACCAAGAGTTTAAAAATTTATTTATTTAAAGAATTCATTGTTTCATAAAATTCTGTTCATTCATTCTGTTTTTTTTTTTTTTTTTTTTTTTTTGGATCGAACTATGACATTTTCAGTTCTACTTTTTGGACACCCATGGTTAATTCTGTCAAATTATGAATCTCTTTAAACACTTTTTGAATAAAAACAATTTAAAAATTTATTGAAAAATAATACTTAGTCCAGAGTAAGAGTTTAATAATCATTCATTTATAAAAATTAATAAATACGCTTTTAGGAAAAGTGATTTGTTTTTCTTCTTGATGAGGTCAAAAAAGCGGACTTGATGTTCCTATTTTTTCGAGGAAAGCGTAATTATTTCGGGTATTATTTTTGACGCAATGATTATTTTATGACACAATATTGCACACATTCACAGTACATACATTTCTCATAGACTTATACTACCTATAATCCGTTTAGACTTGCAGTACACATTTATCTCGCAGACTTACAATATATTTCCTTCGTACAGACTTATAACAGTTATAAAAGCCTTACGTCTTTTCGACAGAATGATATCCAAATCATCTAAACTTATTTTAAATGGTACACAGATTCCTTATAAGATATTATTCATTAATTATTTAAATGAAATAAATTAATTGTATTATATTCCTTTATCCCGGTATATAAGTCGACTTTTCAAACCTCCAAAATCTTATGAATTTGAAGGGGTTGACTTTTACACCGATAATAAAGTCAGTCATTTGTTAATCATGAAATTTAGATGCATTATAAACTTTGAGTTATATACGATTAACTTTGTACTAAATTTCTTCTTTCAAAAAATATTTTACTATATTGAAAACAACTAATTTTGAATTTTCTGATAAACTGATAACATCACAGCACTTAATGCATTTTTATTTTAGGGCGAATGTATCGTATCGAGAGAGAACAATATGAAATATTTTTAACTTGAGATAATTTTGTGGACTGCTTCATGGGTTTACGACTACTAATGTTCAACTCCGTAGCCTTGTAATTTTGAACCAATCCAGAAGACAAGGAAACTCCTGGATCAGTACCCCCAGAGGTATTGATTTGTTATGGGAACATGGAGGACTTTGAGACTCGGCAGATTTAACGTGCATCAGTCACCATTTACTACACAGGGAGTCTTCGGCCGGCGAGGATCGAACCCACGACCT